TTAATGCTATAGAAATGTAAAAATAAGTGCTGTGATAATCATTAGATTATTTATCATCATCTGTCAAGGCCAAATCCTAGCTCTAATAGCAATCACCATGGCTAGGCTCCAATGTAATTATTATCAGGGACCTGCTCCAAAGACAATTGTGAAAGTCAATAAGAAACTTTTTCCCAGTGAGTTCAGGGTACTTTGGATCAGGCTCCAAACTGTCTAAGCTTGCAGAAGCTGCTTTTGGTCCTCCCAAAGCCAACACTCACAACACAGAGGTTGCTGTTGGTGGAGATACTTCAAGACAGCAATCTCCACAGTGGAAGTTTAGCCAACCAGCTTTAAAAAATAGCGAAGTCAATTCCTTATTACCTCTGGTTGATATATCCCTTACTGCCACCTTAACAGCTGAGGTGGTGATGGTCAGTCTCAGTACTGTTTGTGCTTGAGGATCCTTCAAATGGGCAGTGACCATTAGTTGCCTATACTGACTTGGCAGGTCAGAAATGCATTGCAGCTGAGGAAGCAACTTACTGAAAAATGTCAGAAAGACCTTTTCTTTTCCCAGCTTTATGCTTGAAGGGGTAAGGAGCTTACATTAAAATGTAACAGCTAAATACTTCCAAACTACACCAAATCTGCCAATGCAATGTAAAATTTTCATTGCTGTTTGACCCCATGAAAAGGGAGATATGGATAGTTTTAGTAGTGACACACATTCCTGCTGGTTTTAATCAACAGATAATTAATAGCAAATTATAATCATAATAGCATATTTCATCCCAAAGGCTCCAAGAGCTCTTGATAAAAAGTTGGCCAAATGCTGTGTTTAATTATACTCATGCAATCGAGTTCAAATGAGGGTGGATATCCTTTAACCTTTGCAGTGCGGCCGCTTCCAAGAAGGAACATAGCACCTGCTCATCAGAACACAGTGCTCTGTGCACTAAAAAAAGGGAGGGCAAGAAGAAAGGACTCTGAAAAAGCTAACTGAATCACTGGGGAATGCTTAGTAAGTATTACTCAGATAGAGACCCGGTGAGGGAAATGTTAGCCTGTCCTAGTCTGTACTTAGCTAGTACACAGAGAATGTTATGGGATCTTGCACTAAAAATGCTACCCAGAACCTTAAGATTCCACTGATCTATTTCCAACACTCCATACAAGCACCCTTCTGCTCAGTACTGACACACTGTACAGCATCTGTGTGGTGACATTTATTATCTGAGTCCTGGCTAGACATAACCTTGCTGAGCTTCTGAGATCTGATGACTTATAACCACAAGGGTAATGACCAAAAACCTTGACAGCTTAGGAAATTCTTGGCAGCAAAGGCTAATTGCTACTGCACGGTATGGTGCTTGAGTGTGGTACATTGCTCAGCACGTGATCTTTATTGGCTGTGAGTTAATTCCTACCTGGTATCAACCATTAAAAGCTGCAGTATCACAAGAACAAAAAGCAAAGAGAAACCCCAAACAAAACCACCAAAACCCAACCAACATCGACCACAGGGCTGTATTTTCCTTTTGACAAAAAAGCAGCTACCTTTTGGAAAGATTACACTCTGGAATAGTTTAAGAAGTTGACAAATCTAGTGATGATAGCCTTTATATCGTGTGATCTAGAATAGCATTAAAAATACAGCAGTGTAGCTTGTAAGATTTATTAGTATTAAAACTGGTGCAAACACAGTGACAGCAATAATTCTTAAACCTGCCAGAGTACTAAGAGTACTAAGAGTACAGAATACTAAGTTGCTTTGTACTTATCAGTGCAACTGTCTTCTTCCTTCAGGCCTGCAAGTAACAGCTTCCAGTTAACACTCCTTTTCAGTTTCCTCAACTGAACTATCACATTTAGGGTTTCAACACTCAAACCCCTAAGATCACCCTTCTTAGATTGCTAAGACAGTGCCTCCGTAGCATTTGTTCCCTGCACATTGTCAGACTCTCCAGATCAGTCAAGTTACACTAAATTCCTGGAAGTGACAGCTCAGTCCCATTGACAAGCTTGTCTCACATAGGAATCTCAGGTCTTTTCACAGACCCAATTAAGCAGTGGGTCTGCTCCAAACTTACACCCTATCTTTCTGCCAGAGATGCCTGCGTTAGCAATACACCCTCAGGGGAGTCAGCGCACAGTGACACCCCAAGAGAGGCAGGTCTGTGCATCCAGGAACCATACATTCAACAGATTCCCCTAAATATGTGCTTCTGAGTCATCAGCTTGCCAACACAGCAGGCAAAGCCTAGCACATTTATAAATAATCACAGGGGAAACTCGGGAAACCGTAGTTTTCCTCCCCTACAAGAGTTTTTTTGAACAGGAGCTCCCTTTTCTTAGATGTTTTTAAGGAATTCAGCAGCATACAACAGCATTACAAATCAGATACTCAGAAAGTTCAGTGAACAGGAAGGAACCTTCACATGTAGGTACCACGAGTAGTGTAAGTGTCAAGAGCACCACAAGCTTGTGCTGCTTGTGCTGAAAACCATGCTGTATTGTCCTTGCTTTCAGCCTGCAGTTAGTTTGGACATGTTCACCTGCCTTGTAAGCCAGTATAACGCAGCCCTCCCAAGCCTTTGAGTTATGATGGAAGAGCAACAGATCTTTTTCAAGTCAATGAACTGTAGTGTGACATCCAATTTTAAACAGACCTTTCCACTGTACCATGTCACAGCTCTCCTAGCAGTTAAACCTCAAATAGTTAGAGATTATGACACTGCCTCCAAAATAAATCACACACTTCCTTTCACGGGATACAGTCAGGAAAAAGCTGTAGGTGGGAAGACTGGGAAGGAAGGCAGAAGGAAGGCAATATGGGCTGGCATTTTGGTTCTGTGATACTACAGCACCAATTCACAAGAACGTATCATTTAGGTTGGAAAAGACCCTTAAGATCAATTCCAGCTGTTAACCCAGCGCTGCCAAGTCCAGCACTAAACCATGTCCCTAACTGCCACACCTGTACATCTTTTAAATACCTCCACCACTGCCCTCGACAGCCTGTTCCTGTGCTTGACAATGCTTCAGTGAAGAAGTTGCTCCTAATCTCCAGTCCTTACCCCCCTGGACACAATTTGAGGCCGTTTCCTCTTGTACCACTTGTAACTTGGGAGAAGAGACTGACCCCACCTTGCTACAACCTCCTTTCAGGTGGTTGTAGAGTGAGAAGGTGTCCCTTGAGCCTCCTTAGCGCTCCAGTTTAAGATGCATCCTCAAGTGAAGTGAACATTCAGTAATACTTTGAGAGCAGGTCTAAACAACCGAATATATCCTGTATTTTAAAAATGTCAAGCCAATCCAAACCAATACTTGGCAGAAACACAAGGACAATAGGACTATGATGAAGACAAGGGCTAATCAGGAGCTAATCAGTAGCAAAATCTATAATCCTGAAATAACAGTAGAGGTGCCAAAGCAGTAGTCATTCATTGCCACTGTATGAACAAGACAGGATATCATTAGCTATCACCTTTTCAAGCCACATGGGCAAAGAAAAATCTTGATTATTATGGTGTATTACAGGACAATCCAGTTATCTGTCTCAGCATAAATACTCCTTGTAATTAATGGGCAACAGAGTTAATCTCTGTTAACATATTTTCTACATGAAAACTCACAAGCAAGTCATTGACGATTTTGAGCAATCTGGCAATCCCTGCACAACTAGCTGGGTTTCAAAATGGTACTTAGCCAATTTCATGAGATGTATGCTATCTGCATGTCCTGGTAATAAGTTTCATGTTTGCATTTCTGTTGTTGTATGATTATCATGCATTAAACACTAGTTCACATGTCATCCTTAAGTTCACATACAGCAATGCAGACTTTGAGAAGATGATAGAGAAACATTTGGGGTGGGTTCACAATTAACTGATGGGGTGAATACCAAAAAACCTCAGCAGACCTTCGTGGGAGGAAAAGGAGGAGGCTGGTCTCCACTCAACAAATGCATGGCAGTGCAGTGGATGTTGCTGGTTTTGTTACCAATTTTGTGTATCATAAGAGATATTGGTAGAGATGTGAGTGCTTCTTCATCTAAGCAACCAAGGCTGTGTTTTAATGCAGTGAAACATACAGGTCAAGACAAGGGGTTGATTCTTCGACTGCAGTGATGGCTACTTTAATCCACAAGAGAAACCAGCTTACCTTGGAAAACCCTCAAGAAGGAGTTGCTTTGGTTCAGACCTCTGGCCAGCTGTCACTGCCATTCACTCACTCCATCGCATCACTTGGATAGTCGAAGGCACCGCTGTGTTTTCTTCTACCTGTTCGTGTTCCTTGGTGCCTGGGACGTGGCTGTAATTGTGAGGCACTGTGTGACCTGCTCTGTTGTTGCTCCAGTGTGCCACCACAGCAGTGAGCTAACCCCGGCTGGGAAGGTGTCTCCTGGAGAGCCGTGGCCAGGGGTTTCTGACTGCAAACCTTACACTGAGAAAACACCAGATCCCAAAGGATCCTGGAAATGGGGCGATTCTGGCCGTTTCTGACATGCGGACATTTTGAGGGAGTTTGGGAATGTATCTGTGTCCCAGCGCTTTCAAAACACAGATCTAACCGCCCTGCTTGAAGCCATGTCCCACTTGGAAACACACACTGCCAGAAACCCGTGATCCTCCCCAGCAGCTCTCAGGCTCGCCGTTCTTAACTTCTTTGTTCCACTTTTGACAGCTTGGGCCTCAAGGCAACCAGCGGCCACCGAACCGCGGCTCAACGAAGCGGATCTCCGGCACGGGCCCGGCCTTCCCGACCCGCGCACCTCTTCGCAGCAGGGCCCGGGACTAGAGGCAAGGGGCTAAACCGGTGAGCCCGGACCCGCGGCCAACCGAGCCGAGCCGAGGCGAGCCGGGCCCCAGCTGCCGGGGCCGGGCCGTCTCCTCAGGGGCGGGCTGTGGGCGGGGCGCGGCGGGGCGGGCCGCGGCCGCTGCTGCGTGGGGAGGGCGCGGCGGAGCGGCGGGCGCCGAGCTTTAAATGAACATTACTATCGGCCGGGGCGGGCAGCGCCGGTGCAGTGGGACGGGTCGGTGCGCGGCGGCGGTGTCTCCTCTCCTGCCTCCCGTCCTCTTGCCTCCCGTTCCTCCGCCGCGGCAGCAGGTAGGGTGCGCGCGTTTGAGCGCCAGCTTCGCTCCGTGCCCGCTCCGCGGCACCCTGAGGCGAGGCGAACCGAGCCGGCGGGGGGGATCCCGCGGAGCCCCGCGGGCGGGCTGCTGCCGGTGAGACCGCGGCACCACGGCCGCCCTCGGGGGAAGGAGGTTGAGGCGCCGTCTCCTCGGAGGGCGGTGAAGCCCTGTGGGGAGAGGAGAGGGGACGTGAGGTGAAGTGAGGCGAGGCGAGGCGGCCCCGCGGAGCCGCTGAGGTAAACGGCCCGGGAAACGGCCTGTTGCGGGCGGTGCCGGCGCCGGGCTCAGCTCCCGGAGCCCTGAGGGGTGCTGAGCTCCCCCCTGCCCGTGAGGCTCGGGTCGGCGGGCAACGGAAGGGAAGGCAGAGCCGCGGCGTGCCGGCGGAGCCCGCCTGCAGCGGCGTCCTTCAGCGCCCTGCATTGCCCTCAGCGGAGGTGTTTCGATTCATTGGAAATCTCACCCAGCCCCGTTCTAATAAAAGTTATGTCCAGGAGATGGAGTGTTTCGTTTCCTTTCGTTTGATGCTAAAATGTGTTGCTGTACTCTGAGCTGGTAGCGGAGCACGGGTTTGAAAACCCCAAGTGCCAAGCTAGTGCTGTTTGTAGGAGATTGAGAACGGATTTAAAGACTTAGTTATGATTTCGGTTCACGTTTTATCTTTGCTTTAGAACTCGTCTAAACGGTGTTTTCAGCAGAGGGGAGTGAACTTCGAAGGAAATCAGGTCAGGCATAGATTGCGGGCATCAAACCCTTTTCAGGTCCCAGAAATAGCCTCAAAAGTAGCGTGACCAATTCTCTTTCCACGCACAAAGCTCTTTATTTTGTATTTTCTTTGGAATTTCTCACAGATCCCGGAGCATCTCGGCTGGATGTTTTCAGCTTATTGAAATAAACCTGCTTTCTAAGCTCTGCTTTTCACACAATTATGTTGGAGCTCCTTAACTGTACGAGGTCTTAGTTTCTGATGGAGATTGTAGTTCTTAAAATAACCAAGTCTGTTTAGCACAAGCTTTTTCTGTTGGCATGTTTAGGGTTTAGTTCTAGGAGAAGGTGAAAAGGAAGATGGGAACGCGGGTATTGGCTGTTATGGGGTAAAAATTACACCTGAATGTTAATTAAAAAGGCAGAAAATGCTGTATTTCTAATATTCTGCCCTTGAAATGGTGGGGTTCTTAAGTTCTGGTATGTCTTACAAATTCTTGAAACAAGAATTGACAAATATTTCTCTTGCAGTAAGTGGGTCAGGTGATAACATCTTCCACTGGATCTCTTACTTATGTATTGGACAGCTTCAGTTGCTAAGTAGCTATGAATTTCTAATCCCAAAGTAAATGATGTCATAATGACATCATCGTGTCCTTTCACTTGATTGATTCTCATAAGAGAACAGTAATGAGATTTGATATACATGTCCCATCTCTTTAATATTCTTCCTCTGCTTCAGGGGATTTCCTGACCTGCCTGGCAAATTCCAGTGAATCACATTGAGCTCTAGTAAAAAGACATTCCTTTTGGAGATGAGGTGGAACATTAAAGGGGCAGTGGCTGATCCTGGCCTCTCCAAAATCTGAGGAATTTAGCACCTTATGTTTTAAATGTGGAGATCTAGATATGAAGGGCAGTGATTTAACACCTGGAGTTACTGAATTTGCCTGGAGGTGCAAAAATGACTTGAATTTCAAAGACACTTCAGCACTGTTGAGGATCAAGCCACTTAATGTGTGTGAATCTAAATACTTTAGGTGGGGCGGGGGACCAGAGAAAACATATGCTGATGCCTTCCTTCAGTTGCCAGAATAAATTTTAATCCTAATATTAGATGGATGAAATTTTATCAGGAGTTGCCACGTTAATACTGTGGTAAGCATTGATAGCTCGGTATGTCATTACTTACTTTTTTTCTAGTAGCATAATTTAACTAGTGGTAAGCTTGAAGCATTTTAATATCAACACTGGCATCATAGGGAACTCCTCTAATTTTTTAGAGTTTATAGAATGTATAAGAAAACAACGTTTTTTGTTTCTTCTGAGGTAGAAGGCACAAATGATGTCATTTGGTGATGGTCAGCATGAGCTGCTAGATTTTACAGTTTATTTTGTATTATATGTGTTCATATAGCATGGGTAAAAAAAAATGGAGGCAGTTGTTTTCATGATAAATAGCTGTTCTGTGATCATGACTCACTTCATACCCCGTGAGTTGAAATATTCTAGGGTAGGGCTGTGTGTGTTTTAGGTGCCTAAATCTTACTGTTTCATATGCATGTGAAAAAGGGAGAAATTGAGGCAATTGTCATATCTGCTTTATTGAACACATAGTTTTGTGTGGTAAAGTTGAAAGCCAAGTCTAGTAGCATTCGGAGGCTGCATACACCAATCTCACTTGAGCCATGAGTATCATGGGCTCCTAAAGCGTGTTTCAAAAGTAAAGGATTTGTTGGGGTGGAGGAGTTGGTGGGTAATGCATTTACTGAAGATACTGACTGCTGATGTGATGCTTCTATTACTGATAAAGTACTGCAGCATTGATGGCACTATTAGGTGTAACAGAATACTAATTGAACAGGGAACAAGTAGGAAGGTGGTGGGGAAAGATGTTTTTAACTGTGTATTTGAATCTGTTCATGGTGTAAGTGCATTAAGTGCAATTGAAGCCACAGATGCATAAAGGAAAATTGTAAATAATCTGCAAGAATTCTGCACTCATTATGCTACATGCAGTGACAAATTTCCACAAGCTTTAGATGCTTTCTGGGATGACTCAACTACGAACGAGTGATTTGGAAAAAAAATATTATCTCTGAAGAGAATCCTTGGTGACAATTTCTTTTCAAGTTATCTTAGGATTTGCTGCTTACCATGATTTCTTCTAACTCATGCTTGCTTTGGATGTTGGAAACGAAAAATGAATTTGGACTTGGGGTTATATCTGTGCCTTTCAACTGCACGTTAGACGGTCATCTGTGATATTTGCATGGTTGTGCTTTTAATATGGTGACACATTTGGTTACATAAAATGCTGAAAGCAGTGCACCTCAGAGCCTGTCTGAATGCTTGTGATGGAAGGTTGATGCTGCAGTCCTGACCTCTTTGAACAGGCGACTTGGCCAAGTGGAGGAAGGTTGCAAATGCTTTCACAGTCATGACAGATCTTGCTTAAAAAGCAGCAGACAAGGCAATGAAGTCTTTGTTGTACAAACAGCAATAAGAAATGTAGCCTTGAGATTTTTGTTATTTACCTCAAGACTAAGCAGCATTCATATCCTGGGTGAATTATCTGATATCTGGCTTAAAGCCCCCACAATTGACTGGCTTCATTGCTTTTAGTGACAGATATTTTGTGCCCCTGTTTCCAGAACCATGTCCTTTGATTGTAGGAGGATAAACCAGTGTTTCAGCCCCAGCTTCTGCTTTTATCACAAGCTTTGTGTGAGAATAGAATGACATACCAAGTGGATTATTAGAGCTTTTTTCTCTTTTTTTTTTTTTTTTTTTCCTTTTATAAGGGCAACACCAGCAGCTGGATATCTGCAATGTGTTCCATTCAGTCAGATTGGAAGGTAACCTGATAGGTAGATTGATCTACATCTGGATCTTCTTTGCTATTTGCAGAATGCAGAGAGGGTTTCGTCCCTGAGGTACTAGGAAGTAACATCATTAAAAAATACTATTTGTATATGTACTCTCCTTCCCATCACACAGGCATTTGAAGAAGGGAAGTCACACAGTGTAACGTGAACAACAAACTGCTACTCTCCAAAAAACCCTTTATTGGTTTCCTAATTTTTGCATTAAAGTGTTTTGCAACAATTTTAGTTGTTCAAGATCTGGGCAACATGCAAGCTTGTGCACACAGGAGGTGCTGACCATGTCCACAATAGAGTTGATGTAATCTGCAAACCAAGGACTAAATGCTGCTGCCATTCACACAAGCGTTGCTGGAACAATGTCAGCTTGAGAGGTCCTGCCTTGGCTTTCCCCCAGGGAAACAGACCCCGGACATTCACATTAACGTTCCGATGTTTCCACGTTGCTGCTCTAGTCGGACTTTAATGTGCATAAAATGCCACTCTTGATGATAATTCTGCTTTTTATTGTGTTAATGACAGTTCAGTGACGGACAAACTCCATGGGATACAGGGAAACCACATGCTGTAACAGGCACAAGTCCTTTGACTTCAGCTGTGATTGATGCAGGGCAGTAAGTTATCACATTGGTGTCTCACAAGTCCTCTGTTTGTCTGCTCTGTAGGAATTCCGGTGTGCTACTATTGTTTCTTTTTAAAATAAAAGAACAAATCACCAGCAAAAAAAACAATGAGAAGAAAGAAAACGACTAGAAGAAATAATATCAAATTCAGATGTGGGCCTTTCACACCAGTAGCTAGCACTCTGTTAGGTATTAAAAGGCTTTCTATTTCAGACTTAAATCAAGCATATTTTCGTATTGATTATTCAAAAATCACTTTTCCCTCAAAATCATTTATGAAAGACTTCATCATCCCAAAATAGAAGTTATTTAAGAATAATTGTGTGATTTTCTTTCTTTATTTTTTATTTTTTTTAACCTGGAAAAATTTAGATTTTATTCCAGTTTTGATCTTTGTTTTAAAAGCTGTGATATGTTTCTAGCAAGCTTATTGCCGATTTTAGTCTGAAGCAGTCCTGGAATGATCTCTGTGCAAATTGAACCTTTTCTGTGTAAAATAACAATTATTTCAAAGTTTAATTAGAATGATGTTATAATGAAAAGTGCACAGTGAAAAATCAGTACTTAGGAATGCAGCTGGTATCAACTGCTTATTGAACAATGCCTGCACAGCTGAGATTCATTCCATAACCTTACAAAATTGTGTAACAAAACTGAAATCTAGGTAGAAAATAAGAAAAAGTCCTGTCGGTGGTGAATGAATACATCACAACATTTTCTTGTGAAAACTATCTGCTTTCAGTTATGGATTAATGTATTCCTTT